AAATGAATACCCATTTACACAAACTCCAGATACTGGTTTGTATAGCTCACTATTCAAAAAGTACTCTAGTTGCTAGGCAACAGGGGTGGCGATAATTCATAGTAATGCTGTTTTGGAAATAATCATTTTTATACATTTTAATGAGTATGAGAATGTAAGAAACTGTTTAGGAAAGTGCAAGGCTGTATGAATTTCTCTTTTAGAAAATGTTGCTTGTTTTATTTAATAGGTTTTTTCTTAATTGCTATCCCAATGTGTTAGTGATTCTGGAAGGATCCTGTATTTTGAACTATATGCTTAAGCTCATACAAGGAAGGAATCTAGTCCATAAAATAGATGTGTGTGAGTCAAAAGCACGAATTTTATTCTCGGTACTTCTGCTTCTCTGTCATATGGTCGCAGTTTCTCCCAGATCTTACATGCTGGTATTGGGTTTTTTTGATCCTAGGTGTAGAAAATAAAATGGTATTAAGTGACTGGTGCAAGGCTGCACAAGAGGCTTAGTGGCAGCGCCACCATGTTTTAAGATCTAATCTGATGCTTAAACCATGGGCTAATCCATTCTTTCTTTCTTCATGACCTTTGGAAAAGAATTTATTTCTGTATTTATTTATTTATTCCCATTTATAAAATTGAGCTAGAAAAAGATTGAAGTAGGACTTTGTAAAGGGCATTCAGACCTGGCAAAAAGCAGTAATAACACTTTATGTCTAGGATTCTGAGGATTCTGTTTGCTTCCCCCCCCCCCCTTTTTTTAGAGTTAAGGACTCACAGAAATGGTCCTAATGGGGTGCAAAATCTGATTTTTTTTTTTTTTAAGGGTAGGTTATTATTGCTTTTAAGTGAAAAGGAGAAAAGGGAAAGTGTTTTATTATAATATTGTGGTATAAAATATGAGCCTAAAGTATATGATCTATATTGGATATTTTCTTTAAATTTCTAGTTAATTATTGGAGTAAAAATGAAAATTAGATTTAGATGTATTCAGTAATTCAGGTTCTTCTCTTGGTTAAATGGGTGTTATCTGTCTGCAGTTGTTTCATCTGTGTATACAAGAGTGTGTGAAGAGAACTGGGGTCCCAGCTGTCTTTTATTTATACATTTTACCTTTGCATTTATTGCATGAGTTAGATTATTTTTCTCAGAAAAAACATCAGTGAAAACTTTTCAGAAAGAGACAAGGAAAGCTCAGAACCAGCTCACAATATAATTCTTGTACAATAACTACTATTGGTACTAGAGATTTTTATCCTTATTTACGACTCATACTGTCTTAGTTTTGTGGGATTCACACAGCCATGTTTGCTTACTAGGCCTGAGAATTTAATGCAAGAATTGAACTATATACCCAGTAAGCAATCTGTTCAACTGTTGCCTAAAATAATTTATTTTTTTAATTGAGAGATTTCAATCACTATTGCTTTCCACTGCTGCATCCACTAGTCTTTTGTTTCTTGCTTTTGCTTCTTCTTAATGAGAACATGGTCAAAAGACCACAGAAGGCCTCATAAAAAATTGGTGCTACCTTTGGAATCTCCTCTCTTTCTGTCTTAATTTAATATTGAATGTATTAGAAGTGAGTGAAATGGAATTTTGCTTGTTTACTTGTAGAAATGTGAGAGCAGAAGGGGAGATAAAAAAGTGAAAATGAGGACATGAGTGACAGCTGAAGCAGAATCCCATGACTGGGAAGTGGCCCAAAATGAATGGGATAACTCCCTCTGAGAGGCAGAGATGTGTAAAGACAGCAATCCACAGAGAAGAACTGGGAAGCAAATGAGAAAAAGAAATGAGCCAATTAAAAAAAAAAAGAAATGAATAAGCCTAAGAAATATTCCTGACTGATCCAATTGTAGCAGAGTGGTCAATAGAGATTTTTGAATGTGAAGTAGTTCCTAATTAGCTATCAAAACCAGGACCTGCTCAGAAATAAAAGGGTTTTTTCATGATCTTGGCACCTAGGTTGTATAGAACAGAGCCTTGGCTAACAGACACTGAAGCCATTTGAGCAATGCCATGTTATATACCAGCAGAGGACCTGGCCTTAGGTGCATGCTCTTTGACACTAGCCAGAGCACTCTGGCAATGTCAAAAAGCAACACAGGTGCCAACCAGAGCGCTGAAACATTGTCGTTGTGGATATAATGAGGACTTGGAGCATCTGGCAATTATTTTCACCTTTGGGGTGACTTTCACCTTCTGTAGCTGGCAGATTTATTGGGTTGAATTTCTGACAATTTTCTTCTTTATTCCGGGGAACTACATAAAATAGATGGACTCAGGGATGCGCAGTCTGTGAATGTAAGAATGCACAGTCTGTGAATGTAAGAATGCACAGTCTGTGAATGTAGAGTAATTTAATCTGCATCTCAGGAGCAAAACAGATTTTGCATGCTCCAGCAATCACTGTCATAGTGTTTATCAACAACACACTTTGTTGTAGGATGGTTTATATAGCTGATAGTGCAGATTTGAGCTTTATCTGCACATGTCTTACAGTGTTGTGTTTCCTCATCAAGTTAATGAGAGATAGACAAAATCCTCAAGGAAAGCTTTGGTAGAGGTGCCATTCCTCAGCTTGCTCCTACCAGATTGGCAGCATGATAATAATTAGAGCAGAGGTGTCTGTGAGCATGTGTAGTGGACGGAAGAGTTGCATTCACTGAGCCTGATCCACTGTTAATGTAGACCTCAGTTGACACAACTCCATTCTGCACAAGTGTTCAAGTGGAAAGAATCAGGCCTCGTGAGCTAGCTCTTTTAATGCTCTTTGAACCACTCCATGAGTTACTGCTTTACAGACACTGTAACAAGCAAATGACGATGTACTGCAAAGTGAAATGAGAAAGGAAGTGCTTGTGGCTTATACTCAGATTTAATAGCAATTACTAATTGCATTTAGATAGTTGCTCTTATCAGCATCAGATAGCAGTGGAAGGACACTGCTTTGGTCCTTGGCCAGCACAGACGTGACTGGTAATGAGCAAGCAATCCAATAGCATACAGTAATTTCTGAAATATAACTTGAGTGGGACCCAAATAGGCCATTATGGTGATTTCATATACAAATGAATCTGTACTTAATTCATTAAAATACCATTTTGAACCTTCAGTCAGGATATGCAGCAGTTTATTCTCACCTGTTCCACAACTGGTTCAGGCTCAATTGAACATTAATACATATTCTCTCATGGAAATGTGATGATAATTCATTTCATGTTAAATTGAACAATTTTTAAATAGTCATATTCTTGGAATAATTAGCTCTTGTGCAATGCAGCAGATAATCAAAAAGCATGTAGTAATGTTTATTAACCTTACTTCATGGTTTTGCTTATCTCAGACTTCTTGAATAGTGGCATATGGATATGATCTGTGAAATTAACTTTCATCTTCCTACTGTTCCTTCTTTACCTGCACAAATCCAGTGCGACTCAGGGCAAGGGAGCAGAGACATCCTACTGCAGACATCCAGAGAAAGTACCTATATTTTTTTTTATAATGAGATGAAGTGGCAGAATAATTTCTTATCCTTAAGTAATGAGAAAGAGGAATACAAACTTTAAAGCATGGTAAGAGATCCCTGTTAGTGGAATAACTTCCCAAGAGCTGACGTGAATGTTTCATTGTTAGAATGATTTAAAAGCAAAGTAAACATGTAGCTAACAAATATCAATTAACAGTTACATAATAAACAGTTACAGATTGGTTAGGGGCTAGGTTTATGCAATTTAAGTTAGTTCTTGGTTCAAATCTTTGACAATTTTCACTAGTATTATTTGCATTTTGATAACATCTTCATCCATGTTTGGCAGGTGTTTGCACACACCATGTAGTCATACAAAGAATAAACCTTGTTCCAGTGTGTCTATTAGAATCTCCTCTGCTTTTAGGAGTTTGAAAACCAGCAGTTGCCTGGATTGTTATGCTTGGATGGCATCAAAGGAATTCAGGAAGTCTCAGCAGTGTCTCTATCAAGATTACCGTAGCAGGGATATGGGATGTCCAGTCCATTATTTCTACACCAGATAATTTAACTCAGTTGACCACTTTTATTTCTTCATCTTTTCTTCTTTTAACCTCTCTTTGTGTTTGAATTGCAAAATCAAATTTTTCCAGTGCTTGATTCAACCCTTAGTGTAAGTCAATGGAAATCTTTTTATTGGGTTTTGGCTTAAACCCACAGATTAGAAAACATGCTTATATCTAATTAGATGAGATAATCCTAAAATCCTTGCTAAGGGATCTTGTATACTCTATTTCATGTTCAGTATTTGATGATTAACAGCTTATTTGTGGAAAGCATGTTGTTAACTGTTACTCAGTGTCGCGTTTATTTGGAAATGGAAGGTACGTAATTGATGGAATTGGTGAATGTGAAAACTGGAAATGTACAATCATCTATTGACTGTTGCAAATGGGTCTGTGACCATGAATTTGGAGCTTAAAAATGTTATACAGGAATTTGCTACATAAATGGGGATTTGTGACTACTAAGGTGGCACAAGCAGGTCTATTTGATTTTCCACTTCAATGTACATTGAATTTTTCTTCATACTCTTTCTTTTCTTGGACTCTGTTTAATACCAAACCCCCAGTGGAGAAACAGGCTCTAGAATCTTTGAAGAGAATTGTGTGGTTGTAAATGGAGAATATTTCAGCCAGTTTGTCTTATTGCTTCAACCACATAGCAGCACAGGGCCTGCAAGGATGCTGGAGAGGGACTCTTCATTAGAGACTCTAGCGATAGGACAAGGGGTAATGGGTTCAAACTTAAACAGGGGAAATTTAGACTGGATATAAGGAGGAAATTCTTTACTGTGAGAGTGGTGAGGCACTGGAATGGGCTGTCCAAAGAAGTTGTTAATGCTCCATCCCTGGCGGTGTTCAAGGCCGAGTTCTACAGAGCCTTGGGAGACATGGTTTAGCGTGAGGTGTCCTTGCCCATGGCAGGGGGGTTGGAACTAGATGATCCTTTCCAGCCTTAACTATTCTATGATTCTAATAGCATTCAAATGGCATTGCAACTGCAAGATGTTTTTCTCCATACAAACTTTTTACTGAAGTTCTTGTTTTCATAACACGTTTGAGAGGAAGGCAATGGAGACAATCCTCTTGTGCTTTTCAGCCACCAGCTAGCTTCTGCTGGATGATCAAAGTTTTCTGGCTGGTGGTTGCCTCCAGGCTGGTACACAATGAACAGATGTGAAGTGAATTTTTAAAAATATGCATTGACTTTTTAGAACTAAGCAGGCTGGTGAGAGCTGTCTTCTGAAATATTAAAATCCACATGCTCCCCTGCTGCAGAGCGAGCTTGGAAAGTGATTTTGATCTTTCAAATTTGGTTTGTTTATGAATGCCATCAGGTAGCATGCTTTCTAGCAATATGTGACAAGACTCACTAAACTTAATTTTAGACAGCAGGTTTAACTGTTTTAGCTGTATTTTGTCTCATCCCCCCCTCAGCAAAACTGTTCTACCTGCTGTATTTAAAATTAATTTCCAAGGAGTTTCTTTTGAGGGGTAGCGGGGGTGACTAAATTATTAGTTTATACTCTTGGGCAGAAATAAAGCTTCACTCATTTTGAAATCAGTGGAAAAACATATGTCATACTGTCAGAAATATCAGCCCTTCTGCCTCCCTTTGATCCCTTTGGTACAGCTTGTTCTGAAGAGCAGAGAGCTGGGTACCAGAGTGGTGGCGATGGGAGCCGTTACACACCTAGGAGCTATGGAAATACTGTCTTCAGCCTCTATAAACAGAACAAAAGGATAAAGTCAGGAGCTGTCATAGATATACAGGGATTTTGGGGCTCGGGAAAGGGTGCACTGTATATTACACTTTGCACAAGTAGGGACTCTCACTGATTGAAGTCTCCCTCCTGCTGCATTCACTGTAGGCACAGCCTGCAGCTTTCCCAGGTGTCCTGCCTGCCTTCAGCAGGACCTCCAGAGGGCAAGGGTATCACATAGTTCCCATGTCGCTTGTGCCAGTCCCTTCAGGTAGCTCAGGTTGCACTAGGCAGCAGTGCCACTCAACTCAGAGACCACCAGAAAACAAACAAGGGGAGCCACTTACAAGGTGAGCTCCTCATTGTCTTTGTGCAGGGGGGACCTGCATCTCCTCGGAGAAGTTTTCATGTCTGCCTCCAGCTATAAACAGAGAAGCAGAATCTTTTTGCACCTAGACTGCATTTCCTCTCTTCTGAAGATATTTTTCACAGGCTCTGTGTGATGTGCTTTGTAGTTACATGCCTATGCAAGAGGACAGGAATTAGATGCAATACCCAAATCTGCTACCAGGTTGGCACGTGCTGCATAACAAAAACAAACAAGTTTCCAAAGGTATGGTGTTGGAGAAGTAGCTGCACGTTTTTAGAGAGGGTGAGAAAGTATTCTAGGAGTTCTGTGTACTCGGTCAGACTATACTAGCCTCCTGAATCCTGCTCATCTCTCTCATCTGCAGACATTGATTGAGTGATGGGGGATTGTTCTTCTCATGTCAGAAGGAACTGGGAGTAACTGCTGGTGTTGCGACAGTTTACATTGATGTGAAAGAGGGACTGATGGAGGGCCAAAGCTGAATATGATTTGACCTGAAAATACACATCTGTGAAAAAGAACCAGTTGGTACCCTACCACTTTGTGCTCCAGTGAGATTTGTGAAACACGTATTCTTTTCAGCCAAGGGCTGAGGCTGCAAGTGTGTGTGTTTTACAGAAAAAGTGAGGGTGTGCTTTGGTAAACTTTAGGATCTTTACAACATACAGGAAATAAAATAAGCCTGTTGAGCCAGTAACAGATTTTATTTTCTCTTTTTAGATGACTACTGCATTTTTGGATGGCTGTATGCTCTGTGGCATTAAAATCAGTGGCTTTTGTGGTTTTTGAGCTACTCTTGATTGCAGTTCTAAGTGAGCTCCTTTTCCTGGAATCATTTATGTGTGTATCAGACATAAACATCAAGTAGTTTGCACAACTGGTGGAGTCCTTTGTGTCCATTTGCAGGTGTCATGGCCATTGCCCTCGTGCTCATCTCAGCACAGTAAACCCCATGATGATGAGGGTCTGGTTTGGGGCAGAGCTCTGGCTGCTGTAAATCTGAATGTGGTACCATGTCTTTTCAACAGGGGCCATTTGGTAGTGGCCCATGAATAAAGAATGTTGCAGTAATATTCAACTCTAGCAGTAATATGATGGTATGTGAGAGCCATTTAATTAACAATTACATATCTATTTTATTCACTAAACAGCTTTGTTATCTGTGTTGAAACTAACCTTGAGTTCAGAACACAAATAACTTTCTTAATAATTTTATGTTCATATCCAGATAGATATAAAAGCAATAATTGTATATCTCATGGTAAGTGTTACCAGTGTTTTTTCATGTTAATTAATCTCCCAGAATTACAAAAATCCAAATGTTTCCTACTAATATCTAATCTATAATCCATATTAGACTATTGAATTCTGTATTTTCTGTGTATTACCCATTAATTGTGCCAGTAACTGGAGCTTCATATAAGTTCCTTTATAAGACTGTTGTGCCAGAAGCCAACTAATAAAATTTATCAACGTTTGTCTTATACACAACGGGACAGATTTAAGTATTCTATGCTGACATTATAGATGATATGATGCCCATATGACTTTTCACTGCATTTCTCAATACCTGAATGCAAGAATAATTTTTTCTTGGTTAATCTCATAATATGCAATAGGAATATGTATGGTGCTTTTTCCTTCAGGCTCCTTTCTCATAGTAAAATGACATCTCTGAGCCCCATGCTCTGGCGTTTAAACATTTCTGGCAGTTAAATCTGCAAACCTATGCATATTTAAGTAGTGCGCATTCTTTTCGGAGGTCTGGAAAGATGGGCAGAGAGCAGGTATGTTGTGCAGGTTCCAGGAAGGGGAGACCTGAGGGATTTTTACTCCTTTTGCCCATAATAGAAACCTCTCTACTACTGTATTTAGGAAAAAGCTCCAGTTTCTGGCAGATCAAATGCTATGCACTTACTGTCTTAAGATCAGGGCTAGATGAGTGTTAAGAACTCTCTCAACATACTGTGCTCTGCCATTATCCAAGTTTTGAATTGCACAAGTGTAGACCATCAGTAGGTGTGTTTGAGGGTTGATTTAGAGATATAATTGTTTTTTCCAGCTATTACTGTGCATTTTGACCATCTTTGGTTTTGACTCATTCAGAGTGGGAGCCAGTAGACACAGGGCACAACACTGGAATTGTTGGGTGAATCTTGTAGCCTTCAGGAAAGAAACTCCAGTGCAGTTAGAGTGCAGGAAAAAAACATCACCCCTAAATGTGATCTTGTGCTTCTTCTCAAATATTTCTGTCACTGCTCTCAATCTGTTTCTATTAATTATTAAATATAGAACTTTTATATCCCATGATGTCCTTAATTTACACAAGCTTTACAGAAAGTGGATCAGGTGCATTTTCCCACCTGTTCCTACCTACATATTACCATCTTTAACGCTTTGCACTCATGAACAAGTGGTAACATTATGAAACATCCTGTTCTTTTCCTTTTTTATCTCCAGTATATTTAGGAAGTAAATTTTATTTATCAAGGAGTTGTGGCAAATAACTATGAAGCGCTCATTGTCACTGCTGCAGTATCTTTAGTCCATGGTTATTCAGAATCTGAATTCTGGCTGCAGTCTCTCAAACACTTTCTTATAATCTCAGGCAGGTGGGGAGAAGGAGCTAGGCACAACTGGAAGCCACATTTCTGATTCTGGGGCATTCTGGAGATCCAGTGCCCCATGTTAAACCTCCTGGAGGCTTAACTGTAAACAAGCACCCCAGGATGCCTGTTGGGCCACCCTGCTGCCCGACATCTCCATAGGACACTGTGCACCATGCTGTGACTCTGTCTCTGACGTGTGCCCTCTACTAGCAGCAGTTACGTCCTTGGCAATCCCCTATGGTAGAGTTGTAGGAAACCCACAGGAAAGCATCTTGACTGCTGTATCAGTAACTCTGCTCCTAAATATTCCATGATGCTATATATTAATGCCCTTTTATGTGGTGGAGAAGGTCAAGAGGTGAGTGAAGCTCTCACCCTTTTCTGTTTTCTTTTGTATTTGCCAGGTCTGAAATGGAATGGTGTGTTCTGCTGTGCTAACTGATTAAATGACATCTATCATAACATAAAGAGATCAAACAGAATTATTTTTTTCTCCCATGTTACCATTTAAAACTCTCAATTTTGCTGAGATCATTAGCATGTAATTTTCAGATGAGCTAGCCAGAAGGTCCCTAAATAAAACTTAGTAGGAAAGATTAGCTAGCAAAGCTAGACTGGTAATGAGCTGTTGCACTATGGCAGTGTGCTAGGTTTAGAGTTCATATCTAGCCCTAATCAGTCGTAAGTGCAAGTTGTCAGCATTTGATAGCTAATTGATGTTTCTTGGAATTACACTGCAACAAAAACACTGAACTGAAGCTTTTTTTAATATACGATGAGTTAAGGGTTAATTATAAATGTTGGGGTCAAATACACCTCTTAGCTATACTATATGCAACTCAGCTGTGCTGAGGGAAGATTCATGTATTGTCAAAACTTGTTTGGTCCCTTCTGGGTCATTATTACTTTTTTTTAACTGGTACTGTAGTAGCCTTGAAAACAAAACAAGGCCTTTAAGCCATTCACTATGTATTCAATATGTCATACATCACACATGAAAAAAAATGAAACCCAAACTGCTGGTGAATATTAACAATGCAGTAAGGACCTGAACTCATGTAATAGCCTATTTGTTATTGATTGTATTTACTCCATGTTCATTTGAGAACTTATGTCCTCCTGCAGAATTAACTGGACATAAAATCATGACATGGTTCTGAAAAATCATAAAGCAGTAGTAATCTAACTCACAGGATATGAAAGACTTACAAGCCTGGCTAACTTGATATCTGTGAGCTCAGATTTTTGTCATTGCACAGCTATAATTAGGTGGGTCTAATCACTCTCATAATGCTAATATGGGAATTGTCCTGTCTGTCCTCAGTAGCTGGTGGTGAGAATGACTGCTATGCACAATGCTGTACTTTAAAACTGTGAAGCCTGACAAGCTCCACAAGCAGGACTAGCTCTGACATATGTGCTTTAAAAGATTTTCAGGCACCTCCTGAGAGGCGGAAGCATACCTGATCACACAACCTCATTGCTAGTCGTTTGAATACATATTTTAATTGGTCAATTAATTGACCATTTCCAATCAGTTTTAACACACGGATAGGTCTTCTGATATCTGAGGTCTGTGCAAGACTCCTGGGACTTGGAGAGGAATGGCAGAAGCAGTCTGGGCCATGAAGTTTTGAAGCATTTACCTGCTCCATTGCCTGCTGGCTTGCCAGCCATCTGAGCCTGATGTTGGCCACCCAGCACACACAAGCCAACAAGGACAGAGGAAGGAGCTGCAGCTGAAAGAGATGGTTTAGGTGGGATATGGCAAAATGAGGTCACAGAAACTATGCAGAATAGGGGACAAGCAGAACTGTAGGAAATGCAGGAACACAGGATGTGAACCCACAGGAAACTACTATTTGTTAATTCCTCTATTCATAGAACAACTTGTTTATTTATTCAGATCCTTGCCATTTGAAATGCAATTAGATAAATGTATTTTCCCGCTGAGTAAAATTCACAGAGTCAGCAGACAATCTCCTCTTTAAATTATTTGCTCATCAGTGTGTATAGAGGAGGAGGAGGGATAGAGAGAAGAG